TTATAGAAAAGCACGACGTCCTGAACCAACATCTTAGCCGCAGGATGTTAAACACGCGGGGAACCCGTGAAGTGACACCGAATGCAAGCTTGCCTTCTGGCGCTACGTGCTCATAGCGGGCTTGAGCCAAAAGGGCTGGAAAAGAGAAGGGGAAGGAAGAGGAGGAGGAGGAGGAGAAGGAGAAGAGAAGGAAAGGGTGGGTGGGGCAAGGAAAGGAGGGGCACAGCAAGGGGAAGGGAGGGGGGAGGGGACAAGGAAACCCGCGCGGGGCAGCGGCCGTCTAGGCACGAGGCGCGGCTGACGGCGCCCGGGAAGTCCAGGAGTATCCCCTGCTTTTCCCCCCCCTCTGCACCCCCCCCGGCTCTCTGCGTCCTGTTCATCTCCCTTTCCTTCCGCGCCCTCTTCCTCCTCCTCCAATCCCGCCGCCCCCCTCCCCCTCTTCTCCTCCTGTGCTCCTTCCTCCACGGCCCCCCCTTTGCTCACTCTCGGTCCCGCTTGCGCTTCTGAATTATCAACTGAAGGATAGCTGGAAGCACATATGGTTCAAATGTATGCTGGGATACTTCACGGCAGCACTGCTGCAACGTTTTGTTACTGTTATCCTCGGTCCAATTCGCGTAGGATCTGGGCTTGCCGAGGCGCGGTGCGTTGAAAACCGCCGGGCGCACAACATGCTGCGTGGGTGTTTCCAACTCACCCAAGTCGTCAGATAAAGAAATAGACCGCTTCCAATAGCCAAGCAGCTCTTGGACTCGAGCGGTCTCCATTATTTGACCGTCTCTGTTCATGACTTCGCAGGAGGCAGGCGAGCACTACAGCCTTGCAGATCCATCCAGCATGCGTGGCGCCTCTGCGCCAATGCGGCGCTGGACCCTTGGCGATTGCAAACAACGCACGAAGACAAATCACGCGCCCCATGTTTCTGCACCTTTGAGCTCGAGCCTTGGACGAGCATGCGCCCCCAACATGTTGGAAATCATCTTGCCCACTCTCACGAAACATCGGGAGGGTATCTCTCGTGTCGCACCTTGTACATCCCGTGCAATTCGTGGAGGAGTCGGTGCGCGCCTCGTTCGACGTTCTCCTGTGCGGTGCCAGCGTCGCCCCACGCGCTACTGGACTGTATATTCCAAATCCGCCGATCCGGCGCGTGAGTTTAAAAAGGCTACAGCCTGAGTTTCAGCTCTGCTGGGGGTGGGCCGGGGGGGGGAGGGGGGGGGGCGATGAGGTCAGCGCTCCCCACCCCCCCCCCTCTGCGGGGTTGGGGAGGGAGGGGGGGGGGGGGTCCACGTTTCTTCCCCCTTCCCTTCCCCGGGGCTGGGCCCCCCTCTGCCGGGTTGGGCGGGAGGGGGGGGGGAGGGGTTCCACGTTTTCTCTCCCTCTCCCCTCCCTGGGGTCGGCACCCCCCCGGGGCCCCGCGCCGCCCGGGCGGCTCTGCCGGGGCTGGGCGGGAGGGGGGGGCGCCAAGGTGGTTCTGCCAAGCCGGGGTCGGGGGGGGGGGGGGTCTGCGATTTCCCCCCCCCTTTTGCCGGGATGTGCGGGGGGGCGCACGCCCCCCCCTTCCCCCGGTTTGCCTCCCCCCCCCCCCCCCCCCCCCCCACCCATCCCACTTGTGCTTCCTTTGGTGATGGCGTTGACATATGTTACATGCTGCATGTATGTTACTTCTTCTTACTTATATCTAGCATCTTCATCAAAACTAGTTTACTTATATCTTACTTATATGTAACTTATATCTAATTTATAAGTCCGATAAGTCTGCTTTTTCGTATGGAAAATGGGGGGCGGGGGCGCTTTCAAAAACGCGTCGGCGTCGCCATCGATCCGTGCAGCCTGCGGGGCCCCGCTCCTCTCCGTCCCTCCTTTTCCCCAGGCGGGATGCCGCCAGGCGGGCTACCGCCGCGCGAACGTGATTTTTTACAACAGGCGGCCCACCGCCAGGCGGTGCACCGCCGCGCGCGCGCGTTTTACACCAGCGCGCGGACCGACCCGTCCTCGGCTCGGCGGGTGTACGCCGCAGGCGCCCGCGGGGCGTCCTCAGCAGCCAGCGCGCCGCATCCTATGGGGCGGCGGCGTAGTGGGCCATCCCATCCTCCTCGTCCCCCTCCTCCTCCTCCTCCTCCTCCTCCTCCTCTCCTTCCTCGTCCCCCTCCTCCTCCCCTCCTCCTCGTCCCCCTGTTCCTCCCCCTCCCCCTCCCTCCCCTCCTCCCCCTCCCTCCTCCTTGCACAGCTCGGTCCTCCTCGTGGCCGCCACGCGGACTCCCCAGGCGCAGGCCGCGACGCCAGGTCCAGCGGCTCCCCGATGAGGTAGGAGCGCCCCGCGGCCACCGCCACGCAGTGGACGTGGAACGCGGCGTCGCCCTCGAGCCACACGTCCCCGCTGCCGTAGACGAGGCCGCCGACAGCAGCTCGACGACAAGTGATTGCGCCGTGCCTGGACGCGCCCTGGCGCGCGCGCGAGCCTCGGCGTTGCCCCGGGAGGCGCCCCCGCAGGCGCGCCCCCCATGGAGGCTCGCGCGTGCACCAAGGCCCATTTGGCCCCAACCGCGCTGCCCGATGATCCCGTCGAGTTCAGGGGTCGGCCACCATTTCTGCGACTGACGCGGCGCGGCCGAGGACTCCTGCAAGTACGTAGCCACAACTTGGGTGATCGCATCCTTGTCCATGCCGCCCAGGCGGTCGTAGTGCTCCGCGGTGTCCTTGATGAGCTTGTGTTTTCGCTCGAGCACGAAACAGTCGAGCATCAACCCATCCTCCGCCGCCTGCACAGCTGCGTGCCAAAGATAATGATGCTTAGGCACGATCCACGCGTCCGTGTAGGCGCGCGCGTGTTTCCTGAGCGCCAATCCGACATGGCGCTTGACATCAACATCGAACGTGTCTGGGCAGCCGCCGCGTTTCGCCGCCAGGTACAGTTCCAGGACGGCATACATGGCCTCAAAGGACCGCGCCTGGGGCAGGAACGGCGCGTGATGCGGCAAGAAATCCACGTGCAGCCAGTTCCTGAGGAACGGCAGGACGGCGAGGCAGTCCGACGCGGAGCCGACGAAATGCAATGCTTCCACGCAGGCTTTCTTCCTGGCAGGGGAGACGAGATGCACGGGGGCTTTCCCTCCGCCGCGGCCTGGAGCCCAGCGCTGGAAATCGGTTCGCCGCCGATCCCACACGTCTGGAATCACGCGCGCCACTGCTTTGTACAGGCAGAACACCTCCACCTGGAACGTGCCTCCGCTCGCCAAGATGATGTGCATCGGGTCGCGCGTGTACATGTCCAGCGAGCAAACGCGTCGGAGTTCGACGTCGGCCATCAACGAGAACTCGTTCACTGTGATGCCGTACGCGGATTGGAGATTCTGGAAGGCCACTGCACTCGCCGCGCGTTGAAGTTGCACGAGTTCGTCGTACCCGTTCGCGAACTCCTTGGCGGGAGCCGGCCGAGCGAACTCCGCTCGCGAATTCCAGGGAGTTCGCGAAGTCCGTTCGCGAACTCTCTGGACTCGCTGAGCGTCGGCCGCGCATTGCCCGCCCCCGACGCCTCCGCAGTCATCGGGTCGAACCTCGAGGCGTCGACGCAAGCGATGCCCACCAGGTAACCAGACGGGTCCCAACGGCTGAGGGTGCCAGACCCCTGGTCGAGCACGACGTTCTTGCAGTTGCAGCAGGGCCGCCAACCGCTGGAGCCCTTGTACGACAAGGTGCCCTTGCCCGCGCTTTCGTCCATGATCAGCCTGTGGCGCTTGAAATGCAACCGAGACGCGCCGACGTCGAAACCGCCGCCTCCTGGCCCGAGGAAGAGGCGCCGCAGGATGGCCCTCGCCACGCCCGCTGCGGCGATCTCCTTCTTGTCCTCTGACCGAAGGACTCCCAGCGGGAGCCAGGCGCCCTCTTCTTGAAGGTATGTGCCCAGCTCCAAAAAACTGATGTACACAACAATGGACGCCCTGCGGTTTGCAGCTTTGAGCTGCGCGCCGACGACCACGATTGCGATGGCGACGAAGGAAACACCTGCATCGCCGCCCAGAACCGATCACTCCAAGGCCCCGCCGCGTGGGCAAGCTCGGGGACGATCTTGTCGGGCAAACACACAGTCCACCTGAACGCTGGGCCACCGTCTCGGCGCGGCAATTCGATAACATCCAGAAGCGGCGCCACCGCGCGAGCCACGTCGGCGCCCACGGTCGCCGCCGCCACGTGCTCGTCGTCGTCCTGCAGCAGGACGCGAGCCACCCTGCGCGGGGAAGGCGGGTGGAGATCGGCTGGGCATTTTGAAAAGAAAAAGCCAACCAAACAAAACATCCTTCAAACACATTGCGCATTATGGTTGTTGGATTCCGTGCACCTGTCCAGCGCCGCCCGCGATGCGCCCCGCAGAAGCGCTGCCTCCTGCAGCCTCTGACGCTTGGCAGGAGGCCATCGCTCGGCCATGGCGCCGCCCCCGCATGGCGCGCCGCCGCGGGCGCCCTTCGAGCCGTTGAAGTAGGGTGGGTGAGGCGGTGGAAAAGGTTGACAACGGATGACGGATGGTTGACAACGGATGACGGATGGCGGAGTACCGCCGACGACGGATGGCTGACAACGGGCGGTGTACCGCCAGAAGACTCCTGAGCATGGACAGGAAGCGGAGCACCGCCGACGACGGATGGCTGCACACGGGCGGTGCGCCGCCAGAAGAGTGCGAGACATGGACAGGAGGCAGAGCACCGCCGTCGGCGGATGGCTGGCAACGGGCGGTGCACCGCCAGAAGAGTGCGGGGTGTGGACAGGAGGCAAAATACCGCCGTCGGCGGATGCTGGCCACGGGCGGCGCACCGCCAGAAATAAGAGGAGCATGACTACCAGGACGCCGTGCACGAGGAAAGGGAGGCGGACCAAGGAGGAATATAGTTCTTGTCTAAGCGAAGGAAGTCTGCGCGGGCGGGGGCAAACTTCCAGCGCGCCTCCAGCGCGCTCCAGCGCGCGCCGCAGCGGCTGGGGACTGAGCAGGGCAGCCGCGGCCGAGCTCAGTCCTTCGGGGTGTTCTTCTTGCTGTACTTCTTGGCCTGTAGAAGGATGATCGGGACGCAAACGCGATCGATCGGCGGTCGAACGCGGTCGATCGGCGGTCGATCGCGATCGATCGGCGCTCGATCGGCGGTCGATCGATCGATCGGCGGTCGATCGATCCGAACGCGATCGGTCGGCGGCCGATCGGCGAAATCCTCGATGGGTCGAGCGGTCGATCAGCAAAATCTTCGATCGATCGATCGGCAGTCGAGCGGTCGATCGGCGGAGCACCGCCATCCACGATGGATGAAAAGGCCGTTGAGCAGCTCGCGTGCTCGATGGCCGAAGGCAGGCCACCGACAGCGGTCTTGGCGTCGGCGAGGGCTGCCTCCAGGGCCTTCGCCTCGCACGGCAAGCTCGCTCTGGGGTCCTCGAGCGCGGTCTTCGCGGCCTCCCTGAGCTTCGAGATATCCTTGTGGCTGTCCTTCGCGTTCTTCACCGCCCAGGTCGGCACCCTGGAGCACTCCTCGCCGTCGAGGAGCGATGCGAGCTGCACGTCCCAGGACCCCGTCTTTTCCAGCGTCTTCATCGCCAACGCCTTGCGGTCCTTGATGGCCTTCTGGACACGCTTCTGCTCGCTGCGTTCCCTCCTGATGCGACTGCGCGAGCCCCCCCCTTTCTTGCCGTGGTCGTTGCGGCTCCTCGAGCGCTGCTTCTCGCGAGACTGGGGGCGACCTGTCTTGCGGCTGTCCTTCTTGCTGTGCGCCCTGCGGCTCCCCGAGCGGGCCTTGTCCTTCTTGCTGTGCGCCCTGCGGCTCCTCGAGCGGGCCTTCTCCTTCCCTGCGGCTCCTCGAGCGGCGGCCCTTCGCGTCGGCTCTGCGGGAACCTCTGGAAGGGCGGTGCTTCTGGCGGCTGTCCGCCCTGCGGCCGCGGCTGCTGCGCTTGCGGCCGCGGCTGGAGGAGCGGCCCTTGCCGTCGCCGCTGCTGGAGTGGCCCCCGCTTCAGCTGGCGGTTCTGCGAACAGTCGCTGTCGCCGCTCCGACTCGTCGAACGGCGAACAGCGCCTGTGGGGCCCTCGTAGCCACCGCTCGGCGAGCGGTGCGTCTTTTGCGGGAGTGGCTCCACGGCTCTCTGATGCTTCGGTGGGGATGGCCTCGGCGGCTTCCTGTTCTGGCGGAGCTCCTGCCTCGCTGTCTCTTCGATGTTTTCCTGCCTGCTGCCCTCGATGCGGATGCGGTAGCAATCCTGTTTCAAGTCGGATTTGTACCTCACGTCGTTGTTGGCACGGACGGCGCCCGCGTCGTACCCCTCCTGGGCCCAGACGGACAAGGGCTTCCAATCCCCGCCCTTGGTCTCCGAGAGGCGTTCCTTCCTCGAGACGCTGAGGACCTTCACCAGCTCCTCTTCGAACTGAGCGATGTTCTCAATGGAAGGGTCGTCCATCGAGCGCCAGAACGCCTGCTGGTCCGCCTTGCGCATGAGAGCGAACGAGCGCGGTGGCCAGTGCGCATAGCAGCGCTGCACCATCGAACTCTTGCTGTTGCAGCTCCCACACCACCACGCGTTGGCGCTCTTCTGGGCGAGCCTGAAGCGGACGCTCTCCGCATCCCGACCGCACTTGGCGCACGTCGGGCCTGGGCAGGGTGGGTCGTAGCCCGTCGTGAAGCGGCCGTAGTCATATTTTGCTTCGTCCGTGGCGGCCTCGGACGTGTCTGAGGGCGCGGCCTGCGGCTCCTCTGCTGCCGCCTCTGCCTCCGTCGGCGCTGCATCCTGACGCTGCTGCTGTGGCTCTGCATCCCCCGAACCCTCCGCGTTTGCTGCTGCCTCTGCCTCCGCTGTCGGCGGTGCTTTGGAGGCTGCAGCCGACTTCTTGCTGTGCTGCGTCTGAGCCTGCTGCTGTGGCTCTGCCTCGTCCGCCCCTGCTGCTGCGTCCTCCGCCGTCGAAGGCGCCGCCGCTGCTGGCTTCTTCTTCGCTTTCTGTGTGGCCTTTGCCTTGGGCTCCGCGCTCGCCTTTGCCTTCGCAGGCGGTGCGCCGCCGCCCTTCTTCGCGGTCAAGAACTGAGAAAGCGAGCGCTGCGACGGGGGCTGCTTGGCGGGCGGCACGGCGGCGGGGCGCCCGAGGAGGGGCCGCCCCGTCTTCCCCGCCTTTGGTTTCGCAGCGGCCGCGACCTCCTCAGGCGCGCAGGCGAGGAGGCCTTGGGCCAAGGCGGAGGTGCACTGGCCTCCGCCGAGGTGTCGCCTTCCTCGGCCTTCACAGAACCAAGCTCCTGCGGCCTCGAGCCTGCTTCCTGCGGCTCGTTCTTGAACGAGTCTGCTGCCTGCGGCCTCGAGCCTTCTTCCTGCGAGCTGTCTTCGGACGGCACGGGTGACTTGGCGCCCTCGTGCAAGAAGGGGGGCACGGGCGACTCCTCCTCGGCGGCCGCCATGGCCCGCGGCGCCGCGGCTCCCGCGGCCGCGCGCGCGGCCCCCGCGGCCGCGCGCCAGCGCAAAACGGCTGTCGAGAACACGGCGCGAGGATGGAAGGGAACAAGGGGCAAGGCGGATGAGAGAGCAGGTTGGTTCTGGAGAAGTGAACATGGCTGCGCAACACAGTCTACACAATTGGAACAACAGGCGGTGCGCCGCCGAAAACGCGCGGCGCGATGCGACAGCCGCGACAAGGTAAACAGATGATCGGCGTGGCGCTCACGAATATACATGCAAACAATGGGCGGTGCGCCGCCGACGACGAGGATCGATGGGCGGTGCGCCGCCGACGAACTTGTCTAACCATGCAATGGGCGGTTTGCCGCCGACAACGACGATCGAAGGGCGGTGCGCCACCGGCGAAATTGTGCAACCATACAATGCGCGCTGCGCCGCCGACAACGACGACCGATGGGCGGTGCGCCGCCGACGAGATTGTCCAATCATAAATTGGGCGGTGCGCCGCCGACAAGTCCAACCGATGGGCGGTGCACCGCCGACGCCGACAAGTCCAACCGATGGGCGGTGCACCGCCGACGAAATTGTCTAATCATACAATGGGCGGCGGTGCGCCGCCGACAACGACGATCGATGGGCGGTGCGCCGCCGACGAAATTGCGCAACCACGCAATGGGCGGCGCACCGCCGACGGAAACGCCAAACAAAACAAAGGGCGGAGCACAGCGGACAAGTCCAACCGATGGGCGGTGCGCCGCCGACGACTACGTGGTGGTAAGGTTGTGATGCTGATGGTGGTGACGACGATGATGCTGGTGGCGACGATGATGGTGATGGTGAGGTGCTGACGATGATTTATTGTGATGGTGAGGTGGTGATGGCGAGGTGGCGATGGCGATGTGGTGGTGAAGGTGAGATGGCGAGGTGGTGATGGTAATGGTGAGGGCGTTTCCGAAAAATCGGAACGAGCTCGGCGCGGCTGCGCTGAGGGCTGCGTTCCTGCGCCGCGTATCGCGGCGTATCCTGGCGCATCCTGGCGCATCGCGCGACGGCGCGCCGCGATGCGCCAGGATACGCCAGGATGCGGCAGGATACGGGCGTATCCTGGCGTATCCTGGCGCATCGCGGCGTATCTTGGCGCATCCTGGCGCATCGCGGCGCGCCTTCGCGTGATGCGCCGCGATGCGCCAGGATGCGCCGGGATGCGCCAGGATGCGCCAGGATACGCCAGGATACGCCGCGATACGCGGCGCAGGAAACCAGCCCTCATCGCAGCCGCGCCGAGATCGTCCCCCCTCCTCCTCCTTCTCCTCTCTTTCCTCACCACTCCTCCTCCTGCTGCTCCTCCTCCTTCTCCTCCTCCTCCAATGGTGGTGATCGGAATGCTGATGGTGAGAATGATGATGAAAAATGGTGGGGAAGGACTCCTCCTCCCCCTTCCTCCTCCTCCTCCTCCTCCTCCTCCTCCTCCTCCCCCTCCTCCTCTTCCTCGCCCTCTCCTCCTCACCACCACTCCTCCTCTTCCTTCTCCTCCAATGGGGGTGATCGGAATGATGAGGATGAGAATGGTAATGCTACTTATGATGATGATGATGATGATGATGATGATGATGATGATGATGATGATGATGATGTTAATGACGATGATGTTGATGATGATGATCGCACTTTTCCAAGCAAGAATGGCGGACCCGCCAAAAAGAAGAGCGCGCGCACGGCCCGCGCGCGCGAGCGACCGCGCGGAAGCGCCGAAGAGTTGTGGGGGTCAGAAGCCGACCGACAGCCTTCCCGCCCCACCCCGATTCGCAAGCCCCTCCCCATGCCGCACCCCCCTCCCATGCTCCTCTCCATGCCCCTTCCCTCCGCACCTCCCTCACCGTGCCCCTCCCCGATCTGTCAGTCGGCGTCGAACCCCCGAGGGGCCCAAGGCGGCCTGCGCGGCCGATGCAGGCCCTGCGCGGGCGGCGCGGCGGGCTGCTAGGCCGACGAGGCGGCCGAAGGGGGCGGCCGACGAGGCGGCCGAAGGGGGCGGCCGACGCCGCCGCGACGAGAGGACCCCAACGTGGCCTCACGACGCATTGTTGGAGAGCCAGCTGGCCAGCGTCTCCTGCAGGTCGGCGAGGGCCGCCTGCTCGGCGCGGAACGCCACGGCCGACCGCTCCGCCACTGCCTGGCAGGCCGCCGAGCACATCCCCGCCCTCGTGACGCTGTCGAGGATCACCTGCGCCTGCGCTGGGTTCAGCTGCGCGGTGGCCCCTGGCGCGATGTTGGCGCTGACGGGCGAGCTCGCTCCGCCCATGTTGAGCTGAAGCGGACCGCCCTTGCCGCTGCCCTTCGGGAAGGCCGCCGCCACTGCACTCTGGCTGAGTGGAGCGACGTGCTCGGGAGGCTGGCGCGGCGTGCTGCGAGCGCCACGGCGGCGGTTGTTCTTGCATCACTGCTCGTCGTTGGCCTTCTGCCAGCGCTCCCACTCGTCCGCGTCCTCAGTCCACTCCTCGACCTTCAAGCGCGCCCCGCGATCGCTCGCGCCATTCGTCGAACCTCGAAGGCGCTCGGACCTCGGTGAGCCGAGCGCCACCGAGGTTCGCCGAAAGACGTGGGCAAGCAATCGTTTGGGCGCGCCGACCTCGGCCATGGCCACTTGAAGATCCGCGTCGACCTCCTCGAGGAGGTGGTAGCTCGACTTCACCAAGTGCGTCTTGGGCGTCGACAGGGCCTCATCTCGCGTCGCGCCCTTGAAGAAACTCCCGCCTTTCGAGCAGGTCCGCGACAGCGGGCGCGTGCACCCGAAGACGCTGACCGCGGGCATCTCGCGAAGAGAAGAGCTCGATGGCGCACTGGAGGCCCGCGATCGAGAGCGCGCCAAAGACGGCGCGAAGGGAGGCGGCCGCGAAGGCTGCGAGAGCGCGCCGAGGACGGCGGACGGGCGCCCGCGAAGGCGCGCGCGGGAAAAGCGCGGCGCAAGCACAGCCTGGAGCCTGCGGCTGCGGAAAACATCATAAGAGGAATGGAGGAGGCGTGCATGGGGGCGTGGAGCACGCACAGGCGGTACACCGCCGAAGTTGAATGGGGGGGGGTGCTGGGAGTCCAGCGCGCGCGGGCGGTGCACCGCCGAAGTTAGGCGGAGTGCCGCCGACGAGAGCCCATGACAGGCGGTGCCCCGCCGATTTTTTGCTGGCGGCGCGCGCAAAGGATATTCGCGGACGGTCCCGCGAGCGCGGCGCACGTCTACCGCGACAGCCGCCAGCGGCGTAGAACGGCGCCTGAAAATCGGAAAATCAGATGCCGACTGAAACTTCCACTCCGCTCTCTTTCCATTTGTCTCCTGGCTCACCGTCCACCACCTCTCCGCTCTCACGCCCCCACGCCCCTCATGGATGTTTCAGTCGGCGTCTGACCCCCGAGGGGGTTGTCAAAGCCCGCGGCCCGCGAGTCTCAGAGGTAAAGCCCGTGGTTCTTGGAAGGCATCGCCTTGACCGTCAGGGGCAGTGGAGGCGGCCGCGCGGCCGCTGCCTTTGCCGCGGGCGCCGAACTCGCGGCCGTCGGCCGCGGGGGCGGCGGTGGCGGCGGTGGCGGCGGCGGCGTCGGCGCGAGGTACGGGCCGTCGCCGCTGTCCTGGAGCGAGCGGCGCGGTGGCGCGCGGCCGTATTTGGAGGCGTACCACTCCGACTTGGGGCCTGAACCACCGCGGTTGCCCCAGCGCTGCCCGCTCTTGCGCCGCGTCTGGCCGCGCCAGAATTGCGGGCCACCGTGCATGGGCGCGGGCGGCCCCCTGCTGGCGCGACCCCAGATGCCGACGTAGCGCTGCAGCAGCTCCAGTGGCTCCTGGACGCGCTTGGAGTTCCAGGCGATCGGCGCGCTCTCGCCCAGCAGCGAGCGCAAGAACTTGTACGCCTGCACCACGTCCTCTGGCGCCGCAGACGCTTTCGGCACTTCGGGTACCTTGGCGACGAAGGCGCCCACGTTGGGCGCGCCTGCTGGCGGTTGCGCCTGGCGCCACGGCGGCTGAGGCTTCTCCGACGGCGGCTGCTGCTGCTGCTGCACCTCCTGCTGCTGCTGCTGCTGCTCCGCCCGCCACGTGCCGCTAGCGTCTCGGGCGCGACGTGGCGGCGACTTCGGCGCCGCGCCCTGATTGTGGACGGGGGTGAGCGTCGGTCCTTGCCTCGCCACTGGCGAGGGGTCGCTGCTGCTGCTGCCAGGGCACTCCGCCGTCTCCCAGCCTGGCGGCGCGGGATCGGCGATGACGCGAGCCATGCCTGCCTCCTGCGCAAGGCAAAATAAACGCCGAGAACACCGTCGCTTCTGGGCCCTGCCCCGCCGCCGCCTGCATCCAGGCCAACGCGGGCGAACGGGGGCGGGGCCGCATGGGCGTCGGGCGCGCTCGATCCGTTTCCCTCGAGCCTGGGCGAACATCTTGAAGAGGTTCAAGGCTTCGGCGACCTGCGAGAAAAGCGATTGGCTCGCATCTGAAGCCGCCATGTGCACCTCAACAGGAATCCAGGAAATCAGCCTGCACTGCCCAAGCGGACGCTTCGGGCCGAGCAGGCGTTTTCTGAATTCCCAGCGCCTCCGCGGAGTTGCCCATGGCGCTGCTGGCCGCGCCCTCGCTCGCCATGCGCCCGCCATGCGCCCGCGGCCGCTGGCGGCAGCGGCGCGGGGAGGGGCGCCGCGGGGCCCGCGGGGAGGGCTGCTCGAATTGAAAAGGCGCGGGGGGAGCGGCG